TGATTTCTGCCCGAGTCCCATCGGATTGCTTCGGCTGTGGGGATGAAGACGACAACTCCCATGATTGCACACCCAGTCACGGCGTCATCTAACTACGCCTTTGTTTCTTTGTTTGTTTTGAATACGCGCCCTCTAGTGGCAAAAAATTACATATTGTGCCTTTAACATCCCAATCTCCATCCTTAATGCTTTAAAGAATATGTTTAATGTTAGTAAACTCCTGCTTGCCAGGTTAACTGACCAAAGCTATTATTTAGATATTAATTGTTGAATAGGCTTGCTATGGTATACTTTTCATACACAAGATGCAGTTGCCATGGTAAGAAACAACATAATACCTGCTTGTAATCGCAAATGAAAAAATCTCACATCTGAGGCTATCACTAAACACTGAAAATAAGATTAGGAAAATCAGCAACAGTGCATATTATATTTTTACGCATGTTGTATCAGATCATGCCATTGAGGGTTGAATCATTATCCTTTAGAAGACGAATATTAAAAAAAGAGGACAAAAGCGCCCCACTACAAATGTGCCAGTAAATGTTTTATTTCCTTCATTTATTTTCCTTTATATGTCTACTTTTTTTTATTATTTCAGCCTGTTCAGTTTATATTTCTAATTTTAAAATGTAGTTAAAATAAAAATTTGAAAATAAAGTTTGAATAAAGTTATCCTGTGTTATTGTGTAGTAATACTGGATTGACCAGTTTGAATGCAAATATTGTACCAGTTAAATCATTTAATGATCTTTAATGGTTGATCCCACTGTCATTTAATTTTTTTTAAAGATTGTTAATGGTGGTGTCCTATTAAACTTATGAAAGATGATGTTTCTACTATGACAAGATCTCTAAACACTGACTTTTTTATGACGTTTACCTGGGAATTTGTTGACTTGCCCAGAGACGATGTTCTCATTGTCATGAAAAGAGACGCCATGCCAGTAGATATCACAGGCTGTCCGCCTACCCATCGGAAACTGCAGGATCAAAAGATAGAGATCTGAGGCAAAGTAAAGAAGGAAAACTATCAATCATAACACAATAAACATGTCATACTTTTGACAGGGATGCAAAACCCAACATGTTTATGACTAACTGTACCAGAAAAATAACAGTTCACCTCTGAATAGGGTTTTAACGATATACCGGTATGACGGTTTATTACGGTTTGAATGTGCAGTCATTTGCATATCTACGGTTTTAAAAAAGTGAATGAAAAAAAAATCTCACCCGCGCACATGCAACTTATTTCCGCTCGGCTGCTTCACTCTGCATTCACTTGGTTGCTTACACGCACGTACAGTGGAGAAAATGACAGAGACTGAGATAGTATCTAATCTCCATCCCCGCCGAAAAAAAAAGTTAATATCTGCAGTATGGGAATACTTTGGATATTAAAAAAAAAACGAATGCGGGGCTGTCCTTGAGGACGGATCCAATTCGCAAAAAATGTGGACGCAAAGTGGCTGCAAAAGCAGGCAATACATCCAACATCTTCGCTAATGTTGTTTGTTGATTCAATTGGTGCTATTATAAGCTTTAACACAGAACTTATAATTTACACCTTATACATACTTTCCAACAACTTGTGCTTTAAATCGGGAAGGGGGCCAACACTTTCACACCACTGTACATAAGGTGTACAGCTTCTTCTTTTTTTTTTTTTCAATACTTTTATTAAAATGGTTTCAAGTTTGTTGTCATAAAGGATTTGTTCACTCAAATAACTTGTTCTTGTTCTTTTAAGAGTCATTGTTACTGATACGAATTATTGTTTAATATATACTGTGATAACTGTGAAACCGTGATATTTTCTGAGATGATTATCATACTGTGAAAATCTCATACTGTTACAACCCTACCTCTGAAGGACTGTTTTTTTTTCCAAGAATTATTTTAGGAAACAATTTCTACTCCTTCCTATAGTATGCACATCATGGCTGAGGGCTATATTCTCAATGAATAGTTATACTTCCACAACAGTAGTGTCAGTTACAGAGGCAGGGTTAAGATATGTTTTTACCATCATTAATTTACAGGTGAAAATGCATTTGAGCTTGTGTACAGACCAGTGCTTCAGGTTTTGGTCCATTATACTGTGTTTCATATACATTTCTGAGACCCTGTATATGATGACTAGGCTACAGTGTAGGTTGAGCGTGAAGTAGGTTAACAAGTATCAATCAAGGTTATCAATCAGGATGCAGGTAGTGTGCTTTGTATAGGCTAGGTTACGTGTCTTGGGCTGGATATTGGAAGGATTATGTCCCTGTTTAACAGGTTAATGGAATGTAAGGAGGTGCTTCTATATTGGTCACTTAAGTTGTCACACAAAGGAAACCAGAAATCTGTGATCAGATTAGGAGTTCACGCAAACTTACAGGTATAGCTACAGTTGTGAGGGCCAATTTTTCGAAAATGTCCTCACAAATATAGTGAAACCTGTCAACGACAACGACAGAGGTTTAAGTTGCCCTTGCTATTTCAGAGGCTCAGGATTCAGTCAAAAGTAGCAAATATAAAACATATCTACCATCATTCATAAAGTGAAACCAAAGTGTGCATTTGTTCAAAAATCAGACATTAATACAGGCCGTACCAGAACAATTAACGAGTGACCTTTACTTGCTCCAGTTGCTTTAATCTGAAGTACAGCAATTTTGTGCAGCACTAATTCTCATGTGCATGACTTCGATAGATCGTTAGATAGATTGGTTTCCATTTCTTTTTTCCTCTTAAAACACAATGATCTATTTATATGCACTCTTCTTGCATTACGTTTTAATAAAAAAAAGATAGAAACAGTGTAAAACTAAACTGGGCAGTTCAATTAGATCTGCCTTCTTTGGATAAATATTGATATACATCTGTCAGATTTAGTGACCAGCAATTATTGCTAGTGTACTGACAGCACTAATGGCTTTGTGTAAACTTTTTAATGCCCTAAAGCAGTGATGGGCAATCTTGGCCCTTCCAGGCCACTTTCCTGCAGAGATTTGATCCAACCCTGATATGACTCACCTGCCTGTGGCCTTCTAGTAGTCTTGAAGACAATGATTAGCTGGTTCAGGTGTGTTTGATTAGGGTTGGAGCTAACCTCTGAAGGAAAGTGGCCTGGAAGGGCCAAGTTTGCCCACCCCTGCCCTAAAGGGTTCACCCAAAAAAAAAAATTCTATGATTATTTACTCATCCTCATGCTGTTCCAAACCTGTAAGACTTGCTTTATTTTGTGGATAACAAAAGAATATATTTTGAAGAATGTTGGTAACCAAAAAACGTTTGAAATCAAAAACCATTGACTTATAGACAGAAAAAATACACACAGAGACATTTCTCAAAATATCTTCTTTTATAATCCGCAGAAGTAAGAAAATCATACAGGTTTAGAATGGCATGAAGATGAGTAAATGAGTAAATTATAGAATTTTCATTTTTGTGTGAACTGGGAAGAATTGTTTAAAATAATAACACAAAGTGGTTTATACAATTTGAGTCAAAATATTAACACCTCTGTTTGATGCAACATAATATATTGCTCTAACCGTAAGCCTGTAGGGTTAGCAAAGATCTCTTAAACATGAACAACATTTCATTGCTCTGTCAGAGTTGCTGTGGAGAAGGTCAGAAAACGAGGACATGCCTTTTCAATCCAATCACCTTGAGCCTTAACTAAATGAAGTTACTTGGAATTATGTAGCAGGTACAAGACACGTGAAATTGTCATGAAACACTGAAGAGAAAACTTGTGCACCAAGAACTTCCAAAATAAAATAAAAAATCTAAGCAATCTTTAAAAACCTTGTATAGGTTTTTAATTGCTCTTTTATGGTATTTCAATTTGTTACTCACCATGGAAGCTGCCATGGTGTTAAATCTCTCTCCAGGGAGGATCATTACCCCGGTCACATCAGCCTGGACCCCCTTTAGATATTTATCATGTGTTACAGACAAATGGATATGTTTACCTGGTCTGGCTGAGCCCCTGTGTGGTGCATGTATGTGCTTGTGTGCGGAGTATGTCTAACCTGTGTGCAGTGTGGAGAATCTGTATTAAATCCTTACTAGACTAATCTAAATGTACAAATTACAACAAACACACATGTAGCTCTGCACTGTAAGCACTGGTGTCCTACTGTTCTGTTCCATACAGGCATGCAGAGCAGTGGGAATACAGGCATATGGGTTTATCCCAGATTGAGCTTAATCATTTACCACTGTGAAGGAGACATGCATATGGTGAAAGTCAGCATTCAACTGTATTACTAGACCGTTATCTGTCTTTGCAACCACACATCAAAAATGTAAATGCACTGAAGTCAGATTTAGATGATGGCAAATTAGATTAGACCTTTTTAGAGCCAAACAGAAACATAGAACCAAATATGTGAATGGTTGATTTTTCTACATGCACAAATGCAACTAAATTGTTTACGATATTCACAACACTACCAGTTACTACAGACCTCAGATCACAGATGATCTACTGTGATAAGTCTGCCTTACAGTTTGCAGCATTCAGTTTCGCAAAGGCCCATCTTAGTTGCACAGAAAACTTCAGCTGAACCCAATAAAGATATTGAATGGGTAATGACAACAACTGCCATCAGTTTGCCAGCTTGTTGACAGCCAATTCTGGCTCTTTAGCTCAAGTAGCAAGTCTTAAACCTAATGAGTCCGTATCAAGCGCTTACAGATTATATCATACCTTGTTTCTAACTGTCATAATTAGATCTTTGGATCTATGTTTCTAACTTCAAGGACTGATAGTCTTCTAAACATTTTCAAAACCACAGGTGGGAACTCCTTCTGCCCTTGAATCAGTCTTTGGTGTAGCAGACAGGATAAAAGGTATAATGGACATGCTTAAATTTGAAACCGACCTTTAACAAGGCAGCTTTGAATTACAAAGGCTCATAATATTTCAGTGCAAACCAGTAGAAGGGGGTGTAGACATTCACTCAGCAGAACCATTCACTATCTCCAACCTGCCAGGTGTTGTGCACCACATGGTATAGTTTGACATCTTATCAATGTATTAATAAGGGTTTCTTTTTTTAATGCAGAGTGACTTCACATAGACAGTCAAGTGTAACCATATGTGTGCGTTACTCACATGGTGTTGAAGGACAAGGTTAAAGACTGGCAATGGCTGTTGAAATATTAAGCCTACAAGTCATGAGTAAGTGTTTGTTTACATTGCAGAAACCTAAAAAAGGGTAGATAAGTCCAATGGATTCATCTAATATAGATGTAACAGAATCACAGATACATTAAAAAAAAAATAGCAAATCCATTTTGTTTACAGTGAGATTTTCAGTGGCATAAAAAGGCTGCAATACACTACAGTTTTTAAAATCTGAATAGGTTTTAAAAAACTAGGCATCATATACTTGCCGACTTGGTTACAGAGAAAAACTTCACTACCAGACATACTATACCAAATGTGTTTGAGTTCCTCCGACTAGATAGAATTAAACAGACTGATCCTCAGTGCCTGTGTCCATCATGCACAATGCAATCTATGCAAAAGTAATGGAGTGTATAATTATTTTATGAATAAAATAATCTACTATACTTCCTGCAGTTTTTTAGTATCTACTATACTTCCTGCAGTGGGTCTGACAAGGGTCTTGAGATGTGAGGTTAAAGGGGTCCTATTATGCTCTTTTACAAAGTCTTGATTTTGTTTTGGGGGTGTACTAGAACATGCTCTCATGCTTGGTGGTTCGAAAAATGCATTATTTTTCACATAATTTACATTATTAAAATACCTTTCTCCCCAGCCTGGCACAAACGGCTCGATTAGTTCCGGCTTTGATGAACTTCTTCATCGTCTCGTCTGATGCACTCAACCAAGCGTTCTAACCACAACCTCGCCC